GTTTCCGCTTATTTTAACATGAATAGAAGATAATGTTACTCATACGCCATTTTGCACAAATCTCTATATTTTACTTGCTAGGTACATATCGTCGGTGTTTTTGCAAAACCGCCCATCAACCAATTGCAATTTTTTTTATAAGATTAAGGTGTTTTCAAAAATGGCGGCTTCACACAGTGGCACGGGATTGACTGATCTAATTACACTCTAGCGAAAATCTCAACTATTGAAATTACACTAAAAAAAACGCCGATACATGTAAACTGAATATCGAATTTTTCTAGATCAGTTCTTCTTCCGTAGATATTTTCATTTTAAGTTTGCACTGCGAGTGGAAAAAAATCTAACTTAAAGGTCTGTATGCAGCTTTTAACAAAAATGAAAAATTCTTATAAAATAACGCACAAAAAATGGAAAAGAAACTGTCTTCTATCAACATTTCTTAAATCAGTATGCAGCACTCAGGAAAAAAAATGCTCGTAGATTTATTTCTTCAAAATAATTTACGGAAAGAAATAATGAAAAAATTGTCTTCTGTTTTTGCTTGAGTACTACAGACGGTCCTTTTACATGGAAAATGTTACTTATACGCCATGTATTAACGAGTATGTACGAGTATTGCCATGTACGATATCGCTTATGAGTAACATTATTTCCTGGTGCCATTTCATACAAAAAATTATTGCACATTTTAATTTTAAGAAACGGTACTTTTGTGCCATTAAAGAATTGTCTGCTGAGTTAAAGTTTTGTTACGAAATGTTAATAAAGCCAACATAAGTACAAAGGTAAGAATTCTATTTTTGAATCTCGAGGTCTTGGCATCTGGAACCATATAATTAATAAGTTCAAATAAAATATTACAACAGGATTGGTGTCAAACGAAAATGTTTTGACTTGCAAGGAAACAATAAATGAATATGGATAAGGAATGTGTGCTACCAGAAAAGAGAGTAGACAACAAGTTTTTCAACAGTCTACTTGGTTGCAAAAAAAAACAATTCCGACTTTACAACAAGTACAAAACGGCTTAAATAAATAGCAGCAAGAAAATTTTTAAAAAATTATTATTACTGTTCGGAGATATGTTTTTTTATCGGCGCTAAAATTTAGAGTTAAAGGAATAACAATAGACCTTTTTAGGCCTTTTACTTAGTAACGCTTTAGCCGTCTTACAAAGTAAACCTAAAACGCAAACCAGCATAGCCAAGAGCGAAAACTAAAATAAATAAAAAAAAACAAAAACAAAAACAATGAGAAATTATTTAAATAAACGCCAGGATACTTTGTTGGCCTGCAACCATCTTAACTACGTGAATAACGCTGCCAGCGAACGTAAGGCATAAAACGAAAAAAGGAATACAAAGAAACTGCGCAAGAAAGCATACTGCCAAGGGCTCCGATAAATAAACAAAGTTTCAAGCAAGCATTTAAATTTACATTTTTTTTTTCTTTAAGCAAACATTGTTGCCCTTCCATTAAACCACATTACATTTCAGCTGCCGACTGCCACAACTGCCTCAGCCGCAATCGCAGCAGCAGATGCCTTCAGCAAAGCAACGCCAGAATGAGTGAACGTCTTGAGCAGAGTAAATGTGCTGTTTATTATACTTAGTTACACACACACATATTTGCATATATATGCTTGTATTTCTTGTATTTCTCTGCCAGGCACGCCCGAGGGAAGAATTCTTGAACTTAATGTAACTTTAAGCAAATATGTATATGTAAAGCGTAATGTGTGCGAAAGCTCTTTTGCTCCTTTTATACAATAAAAAATCTTTATTACGCTTTCATAACTTTATATGATGCAACATTCATATATACACATACAAATGTATGTTCGCTTGTATTGTAACTGGGAAGCAACAGGCGGGCGAATGCTGGAAAATATTTTTGCGAGCTCAACTGTGTACACGCGGTTCTTACGCATAGCATGCATTCAGGCGCGCTAAGGAGGCAGAAAAGCTATTCATGCTACATTAGGGTGGCTATATGGAGAAAAATGAAAGTGTTTGGATTCTCGGTCTCACCCCCTAGAAATGTGTGAATAGCCTAAAGACTAAACTGTACAAAGTTTTAGGTCAAGCAAAAAAAGAAAGGAGGCTCAAAGCGCTTAAAGTTTCCCATGTATTTTATATGGCGAAAAAACGATTTTTTGGAGAAATCTTTAAAAAACAATATTTTTCAATTGGCAAACTTTGTTTCTCTTCAGGAGCCTCAAAAAATACTACCCAATTGGTTATTTAAAATTTTTTTAATATTCATGATTTTTTATGGGTCGCCCATTGTATTTTTTAGGGGTTTTGGGGGAACCATAAAAAATTGTTAATATTAGTAAACTTTAAAATAAACAATTGGTTATTTTTCTGGAAATCTCATGAAGAGATAAAGAGTTTAGCCATCGAAAAATATTGATTTTCAAGGATTCTATACCAGTTCTACGAAAAATTGTTTTTTCGCCATATAATTTTTGATTGACCTAAAATGTTGCATAGTTTAGTCTTTAGGCTATTCGCACATTTCTAGGGGGTGTGACCTAGGATCTGAGCTCTTTTCGAAATAAGTGCCACCCTAATGTACATACACGCATTTCCACAAGCAGACATAGACCGTTGAAATGATATATTATCATTATGGAGGATGCTTCGCACATTATGATATGATAATTTGCGCATAAATAAAGATTTTTTTTCGGAAAACTAGTCTTGAATAACAGATTTAAGAGAAAGCAAAATCTTTTCCTATGTAAATTGTTTATTATTCTAAGAAAACAGGAATCAATTTACCAATTATGGCGCAATACATAGGCTTAAGAAAATATTTCCAGCTGATTTCATATCAAATGGTGTGGAAAATTCCTGAAAACCAAAACCATATTTTCAACAGAACTACATACATATTAGAGAATAGTTAACATAATATCAAAGTATACAAAAAGGCGTTCGCAATGCCGCAAAATAAACAAATTGCATATGCAGTTAATCATAAAGCTACAAACAATAGCAGACATGCTTTTATTTTATGAGAGTAAAAGATTTAGTCACGGCAAGCGGAACCATTTTAAAAAGAAAAGTGTAGTTAAGCTAAGAAAATCTAGTTTTCATTTGAAATTCTCTTTCGAAATTTAAAAATTAATCCTTCAGGTAATTTTTAAAGTGCAATGCACGTTTATGAAGTACTTTTTGTAACAGTTCTTCCTCTTTTCGAAAAGTATTCCCGCACCTCATCTTGAAGAAGTACGAACAGTTTCCAAGGCCTTTAAAAAAGTTTGGTTGTCACTGTAGGCTATGATTTAATGTCAGCACCACATTGCTGTAATAATTAGGTCCACTACTTGCATATATCCGGGCTCTCCGATAAAGTATACAGATCTCGCATCATTCCTAATGAGAAATTTAATGATATGATTTTTACCAGAAGCGACTAGAGGTATTAGTTTGCCGTTTGGGACCAAATACAGAAATTAGACGCTAACAGCCTTCTTTACAATTTTACCCAGAACTCTAATCGTTCTTCCAAGATTCAAAATAATGCAGTCGACATATTGGCTCTCATGCCTAAAAGGTGAGTTTAAGCTCACAGTCATTTTTTGCACTGATGAAGTCAAGAATTTGTACTGACAATCGAGCCGGAACTTAAGCTCCTTTTTTATATATGATGCCCATTGAACCTCGAAACCGTGATTTACCATCGACGATATTACAGCATAATAAGTGGGGTACAATCTGAATAACGCAGGTACACTCAAACTACAATTACTATATTAGCTGACAGATCCCAAGCCTTACTAAAATTTCCTTGAAAATGTCTGAAAATTTTTAGCACCCGATTTATCTTCAGCTCCACGTTATCCACGTCAGCTTTATGACTAAGTTACCTCTATTCATTTCCTCGCTAAGACTTCGGTTTCTGCCTCTAAGCACTGTAACGTTGAGACCTTACAATTTTCTAGGTTGAGGCGGTCTTGCTCGGGTTGACAGGTGAGAGCGGCGAAAGTACACTGCACTGAGGGCATTGAGGGGTTCTCAGATCTTGCCATCAGCAATATTCACTCCATGTGGTCTGGTTGCAGATCAAAAATAGAGTTGTCAACATCAGAAAACACTCCTGTTTTGTAGTCCAAGACCAACTTTGATGTTTGCTACAAGGTCACATTAAGCTTATAATACTTTTATTGATAAACCCATATACGTATTATAATATGGACGGAGAAATCAATAATTCATTTAAAAATATTTCAATGAACTGGCAGCCACCACAGCCGAGTGGTTAGAGGTGCGCACTATGACCCGATGGATCCCGGATCTGGCTCATGGTCCGTCCAGCCTTCCAAGAGTTCTTTTTTAAAACCCTTAAAATGGATGACATTTCTAAAGATTTCGGTCCGTCATGCCCCTTTTTAAACGACTTCAAAAAAGGGAGGAGGTTATCAATTCGTCAGAATAATTTTTTTTATCCCATACTAATTTAGTTTAGATCCGATCATTGGATCTTGAAGAAATTAATCTTAAATTTTTATATAAGAATAACAGTCGGTTTTATTTTTTGCTTAAAAATTACTTGAGTAAAATATTTCTTCGCAATATTGCAAATTTAAATTAATTTAGTGTAGTAACTAAATTAATTTAGTGCAGTCTGCAAAAATAAGAGTTTTAAATTCGTCTTTATGTATTAAGGAATTAAATTTTCGACAAATTTAAAAATAAAATTTAGTATCAAAGGACAACGAATGAGTGCTACCTGGCACCGCGAACAACAAACTCCAGTTGGGATATCCCCACACGCCAACAAAAAAAAAGTTACTTTTTTCAACAATACTCATGCAACTTTTCAAACTTTTTCGATAACGCCGGATTTTATGTACATAAATACTTTCCACTTTTTCATGCAAATGTCTTTTAAGCTTTTAAATCACTGTTGAAAGCATTAAAATTGAATTACAAATAAATTATTTCCTGACATTTTATTTTTTCTTTCATTTCATGCGATTTCTTCAGTAAGCAGTCCACATGGTAGATCCGCCGCAAAAACCGTAAGCGCAGCCAATAACCGCTTTCACATACGCGCACTCACTCATACTCACACTACACCTATACAGGCGACCCACTCGCACGGGCTAAACAATTTAAAAATCACGCCGTCATGAAATCGACTTTGATTTGGTTGTTGTTGGCCAGTGCTGGCGCCGTCTTGCTGCTGGGCGATACAGTGGACGCCTGGAATCGGCAGTTCTTCAACCGCTATTCACGCAACTGGCTTCGCAACAATGCCGACGGTGTAGGGGGACTGGGTGGAAGAGGAGGCGGGGGAGGCGGGGGAGGAGGAGGTGGAGGTAGAGGTGTAGGCGTAAATGCTGGTGTCGCTGGCAATGCACCACAAATCGACGACTTTAATGGACTTTTCGGTCTCGGCAACGATGTTACTCTACATGGCGCAAGTGGAGTTGGAGCTGGTGGTAGAGCAAGTGTTGGCGGCGGAGGAAGTGGTACTGATATGGGTTACTCTACCTTCGGTGCTGGCTATGATATCGACACGAGCGGTTTTGGTGGTCAACAACAGGTGAGTAGTGGCCCTAGATTTCATTATAGCGTGCAAGTTTGCACTGTACTGCGATTGGCCGAAGTGGCAAGCAGGGAAATGGGCAATAACAAATGTTTCCGTTAAAGAGGAAAACGAAATAAACTTTCCGCCCACGCATTCAAGCCTGGGTGCACTGCACTGGAAGTAATTAAGAGTTTTTGTTGGACTTTTTAAGTGTTGCTATGCCTTAGTGGCGGGCAAGTGCTGTGGCGCAAAAGTTGGCTGTAGAAAGTCTTATGAAAACTTAACAACAAAGGCAAATGGAATTGAAAGAAATAACTAATTAAAGCGGAGAACGTGTTGAAAGGTAAACTTTGCACTGGTTGGGAAACTGAGGAGGTGTAAAATTAGGCAAGAAAACTGTGTTTGAAAAGTTTATATTGCCAAATTGGATTTCGAGTTGAAACTTTTTAATAACACACTTTGCGACTTTAATAAAAAAGTAAATAAATACATTTCTTGTTTTATGCGGTTATGGATTTTTCATAGCTACAAACCCAATATTTTTGGTTACTAAACTTCTTTAAAAGACAGACAGAAAATCGTTTGTATAACACGGTTTACAAGCATATTTAGGTTGTATGTACCCTGCAAACCATTTCTTCAGAGTATTCTGAATTGTAGAAAAATTTTTGAAGAATTCGTAAAGATCTCAACCGAATTTTTGCCGATTTTCTAAAATGAAATAAACTATACACACTTCGATTCTTTTACGAAATTCCGGGAAAAAATCGGTAAAGCAATGAAAATAATCCTGCTATGTGAAGAATTTCTTGCACAATTTTTTCAGAAGTTTCTTTATTTTTCGTACAGAAATTTATTTACGAGTTCGTGGCAACCATTTCATATAGTTTTCTTTGAAAATTCGTAAAAGAGTCGTTACAAAGATGAGATACTCCTAAAGATTTCGTTAAAATTTCAGGAAGCTTTGGCACTCGGAACAAAAGAAAAAAAACAAATTTGTGATCCAGTGTAATTATATTTTATTGCTTTCAAGTTCTTAACTATTTCGACAAGTGAAATCCTCTTGTAACTAAATACATACTTGCACTTCATTAAAGCAAAATTGTATGGGCTATAAAACTGCACACCCAAAAATTTTCTAAAGATTCAGATTGAAAAGTTGAAATTTTGACGAAAATTTGTTGAGTTTTCCTAAATATTCTATTAAGTCTCAAACTGTTATTTCTATGGTTTTGGTTAAAACTTATACGGTATTTTTATAGAAAAATTACAAAAAAAAAAACAATTTGCACGAAAAACATTACGAATATTTAAAAAAAATCAACACGTGCTCATTTATTTGAGTCACTGTATTCTAAAGACGAAAAATTTCTCACTAAGGTATAGGACCATAATATGGCTGGCAATTATTTATGTGCGTTCATTTGATAAATATTAACGGCTTCCACGCTGCCACATTCGGCACATCAAGCACAACAACCAGCAGCTGAGCAATGAAATTACACATCGCTCATACGTCTAGTAGTACGAAGGCTAAATCAGCTCGCTTTGTTTTAATACAGAATGAGATTTTTATCACTTTTTAAACTTTGCTGCCGAACACGAATTCAATTAATAGTAAATAATGTGCGCATTAGGGTGGTCTAAAAACACTAAAGTCGGTATTATAATGCAAGGATTGTTCTATACCGAACAAAAAATATACCCCCACTATTTTTTTATTTTGAAATCTAAAAATATTTAGAGGTCGCGCAAAGCGCTCAAAGTTTTCCATGTAATTTTATGCGGGAAAAAGCAACTTTTCGTAGAAATGGCATAGAATTCTTGAAAATTAATATTTTTCGATCGGAAAACTCTTGTTCTCCTCAGGAGACTTTCCATAATAGTACCCAATTGTTTATTTAACCATTTTTTAATAGTAACGATTTTTTATTGGTCCCCCCATTGCATTTTTCGGGGTTTTTGTGGATTTATGGCGGACCTATAAATTATAGTTGCGATGAAAAAATTATTAAATAAACAAGTGGGTATTATTATTGGGAATCTTCTGCAGATAAACAGAAATTCCGATAGAAAAATATTGATTTTTAAGAATTATATACGATTTCTACGAAAAGTTGTTTTTTCCCCATATAAAATGCATGTAAAACTTTGGGCGCTTTGAGCGACCTCTAAGTATTTATTGTATATATGTACATATACATCCTTTATTACGTTCATAAATTATATAAAGAAGCATACTCTTACCACCTCCAGGATGTATTTTTTATTTTAGTATGCACACACACATACATACCTACACAATTATAGCTACGCTCTTATTTTTTATCACATTTCCGCTTTTAACCGACAGACGGAAATATATGGCATCGTCGAACCACTAATAGAGGATACGCCATGTGTGGATCGGGCTTGTCAGGCCAATGATGATTGCTGTCCCACAGGTGTCTGCGTAAATACCTACGGCGGTAAGTGTCAATATACATACATACATACATATTTTCGCATTTATAAAATAATAAATTGTACATTTGTGCAGGCGTAGGTGTATGCGTGTGCTTGTGTGCATTTTTACTTTAATAGCAATCGTTCAAGCTGACGATGTGTTAATTTATCGCCGCTCTGGCGAAAGGTCACCGCGCACACGTCTACTTTCAATATAAATAAAAATTCAAAATTAATTTTTCCTGTAAACATTTTTATATTTTTTTCCCGGTATTTTTCCTCCTTTTCGCTGCGCCAAATCAGAGGGTAAATGCATTTATGTTTATGGACGGAAACGCGATCTGTGCCACCGCAATACAGACTGTGAGCTGGGAATGTCTTGCCTGAAGACTGCAGCTGGTAATCTGATGTGTCAACCGAGTGCAACTGCGGTTCATCTATTGAATGGTGTAGGTGTTGGTGGTGGTGGTGGTGGTGATGGTGCTGCTACTGCTGCTGCTGCTGCTGGCGTAGGTGGTGTTGGTAATAATGCAGTTTCACTTAATGTTGGCACAAATATTGCAACTGTACCCAAGATGGCATTGAATGTAAAGCAATTTGGCGAGGATTGTGTGTCGTCGAGCGATTGTAATGTGGCCAAGTAAGTATAGCAATAAACTCATACATATATATGTATCTAGAGGTTAGATGGTGCGTTGCCTTGTGGATAAGATAGACCATTTATAGTAGGAGTTGTTTGCTGCTCGTCGGCTACTAGTTTCAGAAATAGTTGACGCACTGAGGTTAAAGTAGTAAAAATAGATTTATATTTGTAGAAACATAACAGCTATATGACCACGAGATGGTGAACATTTTCTATTGGTGCCCTATTAGTACATTATTTATGAACACTCGGTAAAAAAAAATAAGAGACGCGACATTTTGACCAGTGCAAATTTTTTGTTTTAAGTTTATATATAAGTTATAAGTATTAGGTAATTCCAAATTTCAAACTTTGTACAAAAATTTAAAAGAATCCAAAAATGTTCACCAAAATTTCTAACTTTTCAATCAAAGTTTTTAGTTGAATTTTTGGTATGCAAGATACAAAATTACACCGCCAGCAAACAAAATTATTACAAATCAACGGCATTTTTAGCAACTTCCCACTTCCGCTTTATTTAATTAAAATTGAATGGCATATAAAACTGCAAACTAAATATTTTTCTAAAAATTCTGATTAAAAAGATATAGATTTGGGTGAAAATTTATTTAATTTTTGTTATTTTCACAAAGTTTAAAATTGGGAGTAATATAGTTTGTGTAACCCGTTATAAAAAATCTATGAACACTAAGCAAACTAAACGAAAATTGTGACAAGTAATTTTTAGCAAAAAAAAAAACCGACTTAAAAAAAAATATATATATATATCTATATATTTCATGATCCAATGATCGGATCTAAATCAAATTAGTATGGGACCACCTCTGAGACACTACCTTTCCGTTGCAAAAAGAATTATTGAAATCGGTTGACGTGGTGCAAAGTTATGCGGTAACATACATAAAAAAAAAAAAAAAAAAATATTCCGACGAACTGATAACCTCCTTTTTTGGAAGTCGGTTAAAAACTGCTCAAAATGTTGCATTTCTATTATTTTGACAAAGGTGTACATAGTTTGTGTTTACGTAAATATATATAAAAAAAAATTTAATGACAGATACTCTTCCCCATAACCATTACCATTACCATGAGCTTAACCATGGCCATAGCCATAACCATGACCATATTTCTAACCGTAACTACAACCGTAACCATAACCATAACTACAACCACAACAACAGCCAAACAATAACCACAACCGTGACTATGACCACATCCATTACTATAACCACAACCATAGCCATAACCATAAACATAACCATAGCCATACCTATAAACACATCCAATACCGCCACCATAACCATAACCATAACCATAATAGCCATAACCCTAAGAACTACCATAACCATTACCATAACCGCAACCATAGCCATGACCATAACCATATCCATAACCATCGCAATAACCTTAACCGTAACCATTACTTTAGCCATTAACTATAACCTAAACCATAACCTAAACTATAACCTAAACCATAACCCCATCTATAGCATAACCATAACCATAATAACCATAACCATAAAAATTACCATTACCAAAATAAATCATTATTATACCATAATTAAAAATGCGCTAATCCATTGTTAAATCTTATTTCAATAATGTTAATATTATTATATGCATTTTCTCCAATTTCTTTCAGGGGCTTATGTTGCCAGCTGCAACGCACTCATCATCGCATACGTCCACGCAAATTATGCGCCTACTTCCGGGATCCTTTCATGTGCATCGACATTATGCCAACAGAAGATGAGGTGTGTACGACTGCAAACATACATACATACATACATATGCATACATTTAGCGCATACATTTGTATTTGTGCGCGAGATATCGAGATTCTACTGTACCTGCTTATGAGTAAGAGCACGTACATAGTATGCAGTATGCACTCAATTGCAGATGTATATATGTACATATGTACGTACATATATGCATAAATAGGTGCTTGCTTAGCTCGTGCATTGAATTAATTTTATACTTAAGGGCTGAAATGAGGGGCCAAACCACTTAAGCACATAAGCTGCAAAAAATCCGAGAAGGCAACAAACACCAGTACATACTTAACTGCTTAAGTGCTTGGGTACCGCGTATAGTAATAGTAACAACAGTAACACATTGTAAGGTGGTGAACTTATTTTTCCTAAAAACATAAATCTTTTGATAATTTACTTGCGTATGCAAATACAGTTTTTAATTTAATGCCACTTAGTTAAATTGTAAAAAAAAAAATATTTTATTGCATTTTGTAAATATTTGAATATTAGATCAAATTTAAGCTTCACTTCTGTGGATTTTATGCAATCATCCTTTGCCAATAGTGGTGACCCAGTTGGAAGTTAAATTCCCTTAATTTTGAAGCGAAGTTAACTCAACCCTAATGATGCTATCATTTCCGCTATTAAAATCATGCTTCAACGCACTTAAATTGATTGGCATGGCATGGCACTGAAGCTGCCCCCCCCCATGGATGTCAAATACAAAATTAGTTGTTGCAAGAAAATTAAAGAGTGAATGAGAAAAGAGAAGAAATTGAAAAGGAGTGAAACCATCTTCCTTGAATCCTGTTGAAAAACGCGTATAAAGTTCAAAAAAAAAAATGTAGTATATTAAAAATACGTTTTTATCACATTTTTTTTTTTTTGTTTTCTTACAGGAAGTACGCGAATCACGCTTCCTATCCGCCTTCAGTCAGCGACGCATGTAATGTGGATAGTTAAAATAAAACCAAACACAAGCAACAGAAGCAAGAAAGTACGTATGTACACTCCCACAGATAAGCAAGCTACACAAACACACCCACGCATAGATACAATCAAACACACATACTATAGTGGACGCGTGCTGCAAACAAACCGGACGTGCAGATCAAGCGGCAAGCAAGGCAAAACGGCAGCAATGCAGATACTCGAACAATCATAGATAAATACGATTTTGTGCAAAAAGAAAACTGACGCACGCTGAACATTTTCAAATCAAACTTACATACATATCAAACAAAGTTAAACTTTAAACCTAAGAAAATTTGAACAAAACAAAAAACAAAACAATATTAAAGGCAATGGTTTGTTGGTGGCCAAGAAAATTCAAAGATAATAAAAATCAAACATATCATTTATTTAATAAAAGTATTGGCATTATTGATCAAGCGCAGTTAACTATCTAATGTGGAAATAATGGTTTAACGGTATTAGCACCCATACATACTCAACTCAATGAATTATGAATGGATGTATTAGAAAAAAACTGTATTATTGTACTTATGGAATAATTGTGTGTTAAAAAATCCTATATTTAGAAAGATAATTCATATACATAATTGTAAGAATGTATATGTACTTATAAACAATCATTTATATGTTTAGTTGTATGCATAACAGCACATAAAATACCCGCTCTAAAAAAAATTAAACAGTTAAATTCTGAGAGCCAAAATGTCAACAATGTAATCTAGTGAAAAATGTTGCAAAACAAGAATTAACAGTTAGAGTAGTTAATAAGAAAAATTAAAAACCTTCAAATAAATTGCAATAATTTGCTAAAAACAATTTAAAAAAAATTAAAAAAATTGTACTGGCTGAGGCATTACTAATAAGTCAACATAATTTAATTGAAATTTATTAGGAACTATATGTATTTTAAGCGCATTTAAAGAAATTATTGATTAAAACAACAAATAGAATTCGAATGAAAAAAAATAATATTGGCAAAGAAATATGGAGAATCCACATTGCATATCCCTCGATGAGTCAATCAATTAAATCTTAATGTGTTAAAAGGAAATTATTGAATAAACATAATTCAATTTAAGGCAGCAAAAAATTGTAATAATTTCAAACAACCAATAAACATTTTAGTATAAATGTAAATTCTTTCAAAACCCGTAATGTCATTCCCCCTAACCGACATACTACATACATAAATGTGCATTTTGAAATTGTTGTATTAAAATTTAGAAAAAGAACATTGCATGCCATATTTTTCGCATAAAATTATCTTCGTGAAGTAATAATTGTTAATTATGTACTTATGACTGTAATTCAAAAACCGAAGAAAGCCAAACGGCTTGAACGAAGCAAAATAATTAGCAGAATGCATTTGCTGAGCGAACATATGAGAATTGTTTTCATTTGAGATAAGAAAAAAATAAAACTTTTGTTCTATACTTCATACTCAGATTTTAACAAAATAACTAAACAAAATTTTCGAAATATTTAAATATGTATATGTTTACATGAGATATAAATAGTACGTGTAAGGAAGAAAATTAATTACATAAATAAATTACAGCTAATAATGGAGCCCACTGGGCTTTGAGAAACCCAAAAACCAGGCGAACTAGTTTTATTTGATAGAAAGAGGAGATGAGAGTAAATGCAAGTGGTGCCTATTTACCCCTCTGTGTGAGTTGATAGAAGGAAATGGTGCCACTACTAGACCCACTCCTTTCGATTTAGGGATGGTAATTCCTCTTTGTATACATACATCCAACGTTAACTCAGCAATGAGTTGTATAGTGTCAGCGCACTCCTTGACGACCCTGGAGAAGATCGTCCTATTGGTTAGGGTCCTTATGACCGCCCGGCTGTCTAAAAATATTATTATAAAGGCGCCTATTAAACCTTTCTCAGGGTTCAGTCGGGCACAAATTGAGATTGCTGGTGCCTCGACCTGAAATACCGTGAATCAAGCATCTATTTCAATAGAAAGGCTAGGTCCAAAGATACCCGCCACCAATCTTTGATCCATCTATGTACCAGTGTACGTATCTGAGATCTAGTTCAGGTAATCCATTCGATCTCGATCTCGAATTTTGAGCTGCAATTTCCTTCCAAAGCAGATTTCCTTTGGCTTAACATCGGAGAACTCGCAGGTTCTTAGACCAGGGCTCGAATCGTAACATCCGTTCACGGATCGAAAACGATACGAAAGAAAATTACGTGATACGTCAGGCAGTATAAATAAGCTGAATGGGACAAAGAGTACGTTCACGTATGTTATAATCCGAAAAATGTGCTTTTACGTGACGCGTGGTTAGATAAATATCGTATGAAACGATTCGAGCCCAGGTATTTTGCTCAAAACACCTTTAAGTTGTGTCTTGTTTTTAAGAGTACTAGCAGAATTTTGCATTTGCGAATTCCTCGAAGCCGACCCTGCTTGAACAAAACTATGGAGTAGAGTCTAACCTAGGAACAACTCTAACGATTCAGCGGTTCAACACGTTCTCATTGATCCTGTCACCGATAGCAGAGCCTTCTTTTGAAGGCAACTTTTGCAGCGTTTTTGGCCACCAGACCATGGATGCATAAGTTACAATCGGACAGACTATAGTTGGGTATAGCCATTCAATTAACTTGGAGGAAAGACCCCATGTTTGTCTAGATGGGAATTCCAACTAAATCTCTTATCTAGGGTAACCGCAAGATATTTGACTACGTCAGAATATCCAAGCACTGTTTACCAAAGGGTAACCCAACCAAGTTTCGGCTTGTACCTTCTTGTAAACGGTACCAGAACAGCAATTTGCGGGTTTATATTGAGGCCCTCGTTGGAGACCAGATTAGTGGAGAAAGAACACCTCCGTTTGGGCATCCTCTCATAGCTCTGATGTTGACGGATCTGTTACCTAGGGACGATGTGATATCACGCTCACGGAGCTTGGTGTCGATCAACCCGACAGTGGACAGATCCTTGCCTCGTTGGACCAGTGCCCTTGAGATAGATCCGTAGGTAGTATTATCAAAGGCCCTCGATGTCCAAGAAGGCACATAAACCAACCCCCTTAAAATCTAAGGCTCTCTTGATCTTACAAACCAAACACGTACGCAAACTGAGTGTTGTGTGATGGAGTTGCGTTTCTCTGCGTATAACTAATATGTAGATCTAGCAGTCATTCAGCGGTATTTAAAATGAAAGAAGTTAAACTAATTGATCTTATTTAGGGGAGTCGGAGGCCTGTTGCCCAATTTAGGAATAAATAAGACGGATACCTTCCTCCAAGTATATGGTATGTATTTGCAAGAATAAGTTTCCGTATGATAACATCAATGCATCTCTGAATTAATGCCGAATATTTATATGCCATATCCGCCTACATGTTTGAAAGGTTCAAAGTTCTCTACCGGCCAAGTTACCTTGTCCCTGTCAAAGAGGGATCCAGGCCTGTTAAGAACCTATATTTCGAAGAGATAGGAAACGACCAATCTTGCTCAACCGAAGAGCCTGGGAAATGGGCTTGATATTGAAGTTAACAGCGAGTCAGCTCAAGCCTTCACTAGATTTTTAAAAAGTATCCAGTTTGTTTTTCTGGGCAAGAAAGTAAAATTCCGAAGCTCTGATCATCCTGAGATCTCATCTTGTATGTTTTAGAGACCTTATATCAGCGGAGTACGTTATCCATGCTGTGATACCCGCCATAGCCTTAGCAGGCGAGATCTTTCGAATTGTGTTATCAGTTTTTGGATATCCCCTTTAGTTTTCGAGATACTCACTAAAATTGTATTGATAATTTAGTACAAATTACTAAACCAATCAAGATCTTTTAAATGACTTTGTCCCTATTTGGGTCACTCCTTTAGTTTCCGAGATATTGAGTAAAAGGTGTTTTTATATGTCATACAAAGTGGTTGGGAAAATTGTTGACAAAAGTAGCATACGACAAAATTTTACTAAAGAAAATCCTTCGTAAACTCTAAAAATAATTAGCAATAAAAATAAAATAATTTAAGAATTTTGTGAACTAGTAACATTCTCCGAGAAGTAGCAACTTTGAAGAAAATCTATCGTCTGTTTTTTTTTTTNTGTAGCATACGACAAAATTTTACTAAGGAAAATCCTTCTTCAACTCTAAAAATAATTAGCAATAAAAATAAAATAATTTAAGAATTTTGTGAACTAGTAACATTCTCCGAGAAGTAGCAACTTTGAAGAAAATCTATCGTCTGTTTTTTTTTTTTAAGAAATTGCACTCCAAACGTCAATCGCGATTTCCAAAAATCTACCGAAATTAACATATACATATATGTGGGTACGTAGTACCTACCCAATCCAAAGTAACACCTTTTGATATTTTTAGTATGGTTACGGACTTATAGCTCGCAACAGCGCGGTTGGACTCAATGATTTCAATGATTAACAAGAACGTTTTAAATTTTTGTTTTAATTTTTTTTTTTATTTAAAGTGCCAGTAAAAACGCCACTTAACACTAACATTAGACTCTTTCATCATTATTTTCAATATAATCATTTGCAATTACATACATACAATTTTTAGTTTTCCCTTTTTTATATACATACATTTGTATGTACATATATAAATACATATGTATGCACGTGTTTTTTTTTCATATTTTATTAGATGCTTTTTATTACTATATTTTATACAGGTATGCTTTGATGCCGGAAATCGGGATGTGTACGTATCGTTTTGTTCTTCCTTTTATCGAAAATACTAATTAGTTTTTTTTTTACTTTTCAAAAAATTTATTTACCACATATGTATGTATACGCATAAACACATCAGCCTGCAATTTGTAATTTGTTTATTATTATTCTTTATTAATATAGTAGAAATCTTAAAAAAGTCACTTATATTAAGTTGTTAATAAAATGCAGTTTAGCAGTTTGAATTCTAACAACCATATTATTTCTTTTTTTTTTTCTTTAAATAGAAATACATTAAAAAATAATAATCTATAAAAAAACACGATATGGTTCGTAGGTAATTAAACAAAACAATTGAAAAAAATAAGGCGTCAAGTTCCAAGTAACCAAGCCAGTAAATAAAAATTGATACATTGCGCCTGAAAAAAACTCAGATTTAGTAGCATTTTTCGTGACGCCCAGACAGTCCCGCTCGCTGCTTCAAGTTCCCTGTGCATACATAATTTCAGAGCGCAGCTAACTATTATACAATGTATTTAACAAGTAAAAAAATTGCAAAAAAAAAGAATATTAAAATACATATGTTTAAGGGAATCCTTAAAAAGTTACAGTCATATTTTTAACAAAAGAGTATAGTATAACAAATTTAATTCATTTATAAACACTTATTAGTTTGTATTTTTTTATTTCTTTTTCTTTTAAGAAACACACAAAAAAGTAAAACAAAGTACAATAAGGACACGCAGTGCACACATACAGTAATTGTAGTAACAACAAACATACAGTCAAGCACAAAAACATACATTCAAAAGCTTAAGTAATTAAATTAATTAAACGTAAGTTCTTTTCTACAAATTATTATTTACATGTCTTAAATGATTCCAGGGAGCTTAAATGAACTTAACAAACTAGAATAGTATTAAATTTAGGAATACAAATTAATAACAACAGACTTAAAAATAACAGGATGATGGTTTTTTACATAATAAAAATATGTTATTTTTTGTTTTGTTTTTTTTCGCATATTTTGTATTCCAAAAGAGGTGACAAGTTCGTTTTTGCATAGGATTTAAATTTATAATTATTAGCGCATGCCTAAATATAATAGGATTTTATCATCTTAGTACAATATAGTTAGCTTTATGTTTACTCTTTTTGCAGCCGAAAACGTATGTATGTAGATTAATAAGCGTTTCAAAAATTATGCTACCACAAATTCCTTATTTTATTTACCGAAAAGTACATACATACATATCAGGAATTTCGTTACCCAAAGAGTCTATGTAGTTAAAATTTGTGCACAAAATTCAAATAGTAGTTAACAAAATTTTTTTAGTTTTGCAAAAATAATAGGTACAATACATATATGAGAAGAAATAACTAAATGGTTTTAAATAGGATTGGTTATTTTATGTGAATATATTGCTTTTACTTTGAAATAACTTCTTTACAGTTACTATTACTATGGAATTTTTGTTTACACACGGATATGTCGGTCATGTTGCGTATAGATCGCTATTGTTGTTGGTGTTGTTTTTTTATATATTTTTTTTTTTAAGTGAAGCTGATAGCAAGTGCAGAATAAGCTGCTTATCAAAGGATAAAGGATGAGCTTAGAAATCCGTTATATGAAATTTAAAAATGTAGAACGGGCGTTGGTCGATAAAGCAAACGAAACTAGAGGAGCACGCACAATATTATATTAAGATTAAGATATCTCACTACAAGTATTGTTTTGCACATCCTGATTGGAGTAACACAGACCTTTTAAAGAAATATAAATTGGGCAGCAATAATTCCTGGATTATTCCCTTTTAATGGCGCCGGATGCTTAATAGCTAAACATTTTTTAACTTTTATGATTCAGTTCATTTCCAAATTTGTGCTTTCTATTTTAATTATTTATTAGTGGGGCAAAAAATAGCCACCGACCGAGTCAAGTACTGTCACTCGAGTAGGACTCGAATCGTCGCATACGACATCACATTACTCGTCACGTTAAAACACATTTTTTCGGATTATGACATACGTGAACGTACTCTTTATCCCATTGAGCTTATACGATTGACATATGACGTAATTTTCTTTTGTATGGTTTTCGATCCGAGAACGGATGTTACGATTCGATCCCAGTATTCACCAAAATTCGTCCGGAAAATTTTCTGCTGCTAAAACTTTAATGCTTTATTTCCAACCAAGGTGTACCACTGCAGAAGCAGCTTCTACAAAATTGTAGAATCGTTACAATAGCTCCAACATAGCGAACTTCAGTTTCATTCGGCCAACAACCGTATTAGGAACCAATTTCTTTTAGATGGATCCGGTTTTTTGTTATTCGTCCTCTTCGAAATGCATACTTTTTCTGCACTTTTATGAGCTACGTATATTTTAAACAAATTAAAAAATTGGTATTTGCATTTAAAGAACATACAAAGTTATGTACCTTTCTCTTGAAATTATAACAAACAAAAACACTGCATTTACATTTATTGTGCAACCGTAAGGAGAAAGCAAGAACTGCTAATTTCGTCAGCATATACATATCGATGGCTGAGTGGAAGATCGACATATCTCAGCTGCCGATTCAAAAACGCCCTATATCAGCATATTTTCAATATATTTTGAAGTGAGATAGGGCGTTTTTGAACCGAATTTTGAGATAGGGTGTTTTTCAATTAAATTCTGAAATAGGGCGTTCTTGAAAAGTTTTTTGAGATAGAGCGTTTTCGAACTGGCTGCCGAGATAGGTCGATCTTCCACTCAGCCATCGATATGTGATTAATCAAAGGGAGGATGGTATATTAATTGCTTTTTTGCACACATCAACACGGCAGTTTTGTCAACAAGAGATATTTTATTTATTTACATACATTTAGACTGGCAATTCCTGAGTGTTTGTTTTAGTTTTCGTTATTATGTTAGTATGTATAAGGTGTCTTTTTATAGATATTACTACTTAGTTAATTTTGTTCTTTTCTTTTCTCTTAAGATTATTTTCTAAAAATGGCAAAGCTTTAACGCGAGTAAGAAATTTTGGTAAAAGAAAGAGAAGACAAGCGTTAAAAAACTTAAATATTCGTGCCTACTGTTTTAACCAAAATATTGTTCTAAAAATGTACATATGTATTTATTATGGCGATATTCACTGAAACTGTTTCTAAGTATGTATCAGTCTTTCGTCAAGAGTCTTTTTTGTAGTTGCTGCTAGACGTGTTCGTTGTAATTTACTAAATGCAGAAAATTTCCAACTTTTTTTTCCGCTGCCGCATTGAATATTTAAATATGCATGTGTGTATATGCATATCAGATATAGATAGATATTACCAGAGATGCAAATGAGCTTAGTTAAATTGCTTAGTCGATGGCAGTTTCGAATGATATTTAGGTTAAAAGATCGAAAGAGTTATGAGGTTTCTTGGAAAGTTTTTGCAGTTGTTCATTTATTCAAATTAAAACAAATAATAAACAGTTTTTTAATTGATTTAACACTTTATATTTGACAATTGTTATTTAAAAAATCTGGGGCCCTTTTTCACAATGTAGAGTTACTTCATATTCGGAAGATAACTGTACTTAGATCTTCAGTACCACGGCCCTTAATGTTCATTTGTTTCGCAATATCTATAAGCAAACAAAAATTTAAATTCAGCAGAATATTTAAAATTAAAAATTTGAAAATTTCGGCTACGATCGGTTTTTTTTTTGTTTTAATATAGGTTTTCATTGAATGAAAAATTCGCGTTAGTAACTTGCAACGCTACGCAATATTCATACAAATGTCGAAAAAAAAATCGTAAATGTGAACATATTTACTTTCTCCTTACGTTTACTTATTTTTTTACTTGAATCTTGGATAAAAGCCATGGTGGGCAATAAGAAATAAGAAATAAAGCATAAACAAAGGTAAAGCTAAACATTTTCACAAATCAAACAATTTAGTCTAAGAAAGTAAGAAAGTAAAATTATCTAATTACGCGCAAACTTAAAATCTACAATAGCGAATGCTATAGGAAAATCTCAAGATTGTGTACATTCTCAAAATATTTACGTTAGTTACTTCCCACATCACACATGTCACAACTAATCCTCACATTTCACATTACATTTTCTTACTCTTCTCCTTTTTCTGTTTGCACACATGCAACATAGCTTAAAGTTACTTTTGAATATTTACTTTTCGTCCGCTTAATTTCGGCCATTAAAGCTGCTGCTTTTAGTTAGTTTAAATCGGTTTGTGTTGTTCACTTCTCCTCTTAAGCCTAATACACATTTTACTTTACGTTCTTACTTACACAAATTTTATAAATTATAGTTTAAAATTACAAATACAACTTTTAGTGCGTTAATAGAATGCTCTGCATCAATATAACAGCTTTATAAATTTCTCTGTTTTCCATATTTTTTCGGTTTTTTATGTTAATTTTTAATTAGGTATTTTAAGGTATGTTCTTCTCTTTAGGTAATTTTTCCGCCCGTTTCCACTTAATTTTCTTTTTTTTTTGTTCTTAGTAAATCTACATACAAATTCAGCAGAAAACTAAAAGGAAGGGGTGTGTAAAGAAGGCTCTCATTGCACATTGTTCAGCACTTAAAATGCAACGAACGCAAGACGCTATGCCACAGCCTTCTCCTTACTTAATAGTTCACTTTACACCCGTTTGTTCAAGCCAAAATGGCTGCGTACTACAACTACAATCAGTTCTTCACTTTATCCTCGACCGTAATATTGGCCAGAGTCTTCTTTATGCGTAGCGCCGTAAGACGGGCCACAGGATTAGGATACCAGCACTCCTTCATCACTTTCGCCATGCCGTGCAACACTTCGGAAGCATGCCAGCGATTTGGTATATTTGGACGCATTTTATCGATGCAAACCACCTGCAAATTATTTCGTTAATATTACGTATACATGTGGCGTTCACAGGACTCACCTTCTTCATCTCCTCAATACTCGGATCGGGTTGCACAACATCATAGTAGGGCAACTGATATTCATCATAAATCATGCCAATGTTGCAACGACGAGCAATTTCCCACAATATCAGGCCGAATGCGTATACATCGGCACGCTTATATGAATCGAAATGCTGCGCATTCATACTCTCGTCCAGCACCTCAGGTGCCATATAACGCTTAGTGCCGACGCGATGTGTTGAAGGTATGTCAACGGAATCATTCTTTTCCACATGACGTACAGCCAAGCCCAGATCACCTATCGCACAGCTGAGATTGGATTTGACGAGAATATTCTTTGATTTGAGGTCACGATGAGCAATCGCCGGTTTACCACGTGTACCCACAATATCCATGTGTAGGTGAGCTAAACCGGTGGCGATTGAGAGCGCCATATTGAGCATAGTTTTTGTATCCACGGTATGTGTGGTGAGGTAATCGAATAATGAACCATTTTCGTGGTAGTCAGTGACTAGCCAAAGCTGCGTCCAAGTGCCATTATCTGCCAAAGAGAAAGAAAGAAGATTATTATTGCAAGTGAATAACATTCTATAAATAAAAAGATCCCCCCCAGCAAAACGTTTGGCCAATGAATAAAGGAAGCGCGTTAGTAATAGGTTGCGGGGCAAGGTATCTACGAAGAAGTTTCGTCATAAAAATGTTATATGCTAGATGATCTTGTTAATTGAGTCGGTTATGCACAAATCTGATTCTAGATATGCGGTTTGGTGAGATTTGAATTTTGTAGGACATCGGCCGTAACTTATGCTATTACCATTTCATTTCCTAGTTATTGCCTTTTGCTGCTGGGATCGAGCTGGTCTCCACACAAATGAAAATAAAGTTTAGAAATCGTTCGAGACGATTTTAGCGCGATAAAATCTTTCGGCCTAGACCTGACACCAGTCTCCATAAACTGCTCCAAAGTGTTAAAAGAATTAAAATTTTATGATAGGTTTTTCTGAATAGAAGAAGATCTTATCAATGCTCGAATATTATTTACGATGATGAGACTTTATTTTTTGGAAGTTATGCAAAATTTCGCAACCAAACATATTAACGCTGATTTGTCATATATTAGGAGTTAATCTGATGCAAATACGCTCCCTATTTCATCGTTTATGTTTACTTATGTAATTTATATCCATCGTTTCCTACCTTTATTGTCGGCAGCAATGAAACCCAAAATATTCTCATGACGCAACATCACAGTTTGATATATTTCAGCTTCCCTGAACCAGGAACACTCCTCACGGCTAGAGAAAATTTTAACAGCCACGTTTTCACCACGCCAACGACCACGCCAAACTTCTCCAAATCGACCCTTGCCAATTACGTGACAGAGTTGTATTTGGCGCGCGATGGAACGCTGTACAAGTAATGGCAAACCAGCTGAAAATGAAAAAATATATACGCGATTAAGAGAGAGAGAAGAATATGTCAAAAGAATACATTCACTCACCAGATCCGGAGCCCGAAGTGGTCATTTCAATAATATCCTGTATAGTGTTGCCATTTAAAATAGGATCGCAAACAGAATCATCCGGCGGGAAGGTACGTCCATGGCTATTGCGTTTGCGACGCTGCCAAAAGCATAGCGACAAAAGAACCGACATGCAAATGAAGAGCGTAGCGCCAAAAATAATGGCGACCAATACCCACGTATTTAGGGGCTCATCAGGCAGGAAATCTAAGTTGAACGTGTTTTGGGAGCAATGAATAAATATGTATTATGATCAGCAGGCCCAGTAACTTTTGAAGAACAAGTTTCGAGTTAAAAATTCATCGACATATTATTTGCCAAAACTTTTAGGGAGCCGTGCAAAGCGTTAAAATGTGAGATGCGTGCATGAAATAAGCTTTTTACATTTACTAACTACTTAGTTTATAAAAGTTCAAAAGGCGATTGGAGGAATTAACACATTGAGAAAATGCATGCAAGAGGATGATTTGTGCGAGGTTAATTACAAAACAAAACAACACATAAAATTTAATAAAAACATATGTACATATATACAAAAAGTGAGTTCGTGCAAATTGGTGAAATTTATTTACCTTTTTTTAATTATTTGCGTTCCTTACACATTAAAAACTACTTTACGTACCTGGGAAGCATCAGTTTTCTATCCTCTCATTTAGCAATGTGAATTAATGCTCTGATACCAAGGATATACATACATATATAAAAAAAAATAGTGCTTTGACCTCCCGATGAAAAAGCTCGTTTACTACTATTTTCAATATTTCCTATTTTGATCTTTCTAGTTCGAGCGCAACAAATAAAAAATTTCAAAACACAGGAAACAATCGATATACTCACGAAACTGTGGGACAAATATAGTAAAACTGCGCTTCTAAATGTTCACTCTGACGTCAGGCTTTTTTTCAAAGGACTTTGAAATTTTAAGATATGATTGATTAAAAAAAAAATTATTTAAACAATACAGAGTAATGTATAGTAAAAATATGCGTACCAAATGAGAGAGAAAATTCTGTAGTAGATTTAAAAACAATAAAGTTTTTTGGTTTACAAGGGCGAATAGGTTTTGCAAATGCGCTTTTAAAAATTTGTATCTTTTTAAGTTAGTAAAGTTTGCACGACGAAATTCGATGATGAGGTCGTGCGTCCTCAAACAATAATTAAAAAAAAATTATAATGAAAATTTTCAAGGATATTTAAGGACAAAATTTGTAAAGTACATTTTCCTTACCCATTCGTTCTTATGCATCAAAAAATTTATTGTGTTATAATTGTGCAGAATTTTTTCTTTTATACGATACCCCTATTGTTATCCTACATTGCACTGAATTTTTTAAATAATTTTTGGAAATAATCATATTTTTTAAATTTCAAAGTCCTTTAAAAATTCTGACGTCAGGGAGAAAAACTAAGTACGCAGATTCACTATAATTTACCCATAGCTTCGCGAATATATTCATTTTTTTGTGTGTGAAATTTACTGGTCGCACGGTGATATATAATAAACTGCAAATAAATGCGCATTTCAAGCTTTGAAAAAAAACTACAAATTCAACAAATCTTCACCAAACTTTCAAATTTCTTATGCAGAATTTTTAAGTATACAGTTTTATAGCCCATTCAATTTTAGTAGGATAAATCAATGCCCGATTTTATAAGTTGCAGTTGTTATTAGGGCTGGGACTATCCGCATATTCGAATATCCGGATTATCCGTTGACGCGGATAAAATCCGGATAGTATGAAAATCCGTTTAATATTCGTATTTTAGGATATCCACTAAAAAATTAACCAATTGGTGAACAATATTCGTTTATTAATTAAATTATGCGCAATATAGAATAAATAGAAAAATGTAAAGGTAACTGGCTGAAATAATCAAAGATGTCGAAATGACAATAACAAGCGAAATGACAACAACAAACGGTAACAATGTTAATAAATTCTTCATTTCATTTAACAATAACCACAATAATGAGCTGTGAGTCCCATGCACGATCGCGTGGCTCTTGATGTCCAGCAATCAGTTGTCAAAGCTATATCAGATGCATAACTAAGAGTTTTTTTTTTAACTTTCTCTAGATCATTGTTATGCATGGCTTGAATTCTGCCGGAAATGGTTTTGCGATAGGGAATTACGTACTCTGGTTCTAGCATATTCACAAAATTCTTGAATCCATCACATTCCACCAATGAAATAGGTAATAAGTCGACAGAAAGTTATTTTAGCTCTTGACGTTCTTTAGACATATACTTCGCGCGAACAGCTTGAGCTACACGCGATGTTCGAACTTTTTCATTCCGAATTTTGTGAAGGTGTGTCTCCAAAGTGTCCGTTTAAATGAACTGCTACTCGGTGTAGACTCTGGCCGAGATCTCATAATTCTACGCATTCTTAGGTCATTGGAGTCCCAATGCATATTTGCAGTCTGTTCGCTACTAGGGGCCACTCGCTGCAAACCCTGAACATATTTTTAGGCAGCGGATCCCAAACCCAACGCATAACTCCGACAAGGAGATAGTCTTTTTGCCATCATGAACAACATTCTGGTTAGAAATGTTGAATATCCTTCTTGGTAGTTGGCATGAACTCAGCACACTTTCAATACCTTGGCAGCTTTGTAGTGTCTTTATGGGCAGAGCATTTCCCTTCTATGGCAGTATGACATTTTGTTGTTCTTGTTATTGTTGTAACGGCTACTTAACCCTGCTAAGCATCGGATAGTCCTCCAATCATTGAAGCTCAACTCACCCAATTCCCACACAATTTTTCATTTTGCTTGGGAAGTTTTTATGTCCATCATCACCTGTTGATCGTCTAGGTCTCTTAATATTTTTTGGTGGACTAATATAGATTATGTTAAATAATTTTTAAATTCATAGCAGCAGTAGGGAGGAATAGATTTGTATGGGATTTCGTTAGCGTATTAATATATAGATAACGAATGGTTTAAAGGAAAGTTTTCTAAACAAACGTTTGAAAAGGAGGCCTTATCCGAGGCTTAATTTTTCCTTTCATTGGCTAGCAGGGCATCCTTTACATCTTATTTTGAAAAAACAGGGAGCCATTTTACTTTGTAATCGTATGTATTTTGATCTGTTTCATGCATTTTTTACTTCCTTATAAACTTACATTGATCTGAATTGTATGTTAAAAAATTAAGCTTACTCGATTTAACGTCGAAACAGTCTCCTTTTGGGACAGGGACTGAACATTCCAGGTGCGTACACTCGTGGCAAAATTCATCCCGCGTTTATAATATACATACATATATATGTATGTATTTATATCTATATTATGACAAAATCGACAAAATCACTGTTAAAAATGTTTACTTTGGTTATGTGAAGAGGAGTTGAACATTCCAGGTGCATACCCACGTGGCACAAATCTCTCTCTGGGTTTATACCATTTTCATGAGTTTTTAAAGATGGAGCTCCTTCAAAAAAAAAATAGTAGATATTTTATCAGCCGTGAAGCAGCTATGATCTTCATTTGAAACTCACTTATATTTTTGAAAAGGATCAGTACATTCCAGGTGCATACACTCGTGGCGCAAATGAGTATCGGATTATTGGCTGATATCAAAGTGGACGCTGCTTAACTGATACATATATAAAAATGCTGCCTTTAGTGCGCACCGTTCATCCGATTTCAATGAATAATAATACATCTAAGGCTGTGGATTTTAGTATCGCATTATACTTTATTTAAATGAGAACTTTTAACTGCCCGCGAAATGAGCTTAAATTAAGAGAACTATCACTGGGAAGTCAAAGCCAAACAAGACGAACATCTGGCAATGTTTTATCCTTTTATGGGAAAATAATCTAAATGAACCCAACAAAATAATAAGCGTAGCATTTTAAGTCAAGTTGAACCACTGACATGGGTACTTTTTGGAGAAAGTCAAACTTAACTAAGAAAAAATTATTTAGTCAGAACGAAGCGCTATTAAGGGTTATTTTGATACCAATACGCACTTCAGGGTATGCCGTTTTCATAATATTTACGATGGAAAACTTATCGATTTTTAAGAAGAGAAATTCCATTCACTGGCACTGTCATTTAAAAATTCCTCAAATGTTTACAAAGGTCTATGTGAAAAAATGCAAGCGATTGAGTTCAACGTTTCCTCAGTCAATGGCCCCTTAATTGTTTTAGAAGGACCTGACGTCAGTTGCATATTATCGCATTCCCTATTGGCGTACTTTATTGTCTGAACTGTCATCCTAGAATTTGGTTACCCTTAAAAAAAAAAAGAGTTAAAATATAGCGATTGCGGCATTTAACTTAAGTGTCATATGTCAAAAGTTTGAATGATGGTAGGCAAATCGTAAACAAAATGGCATAGCCCAAAAAAACCACATTGCAGTAAAACGGTATTTTTTTATAATCACCTCAGGCAATGATTCACCGAGGAATGTGCATATCAAGAAAATGCAGAAGCTGCATAGGCTGACATTTTGATTGAGCGTGCAAAGTCTTTGAACTTGGCCAGTATATCTAAATTCCAAAACACTCCAAACCAGGAATGTAGAGGTTCAAAATCGAATACGTAAATATGTATGTATCACACGACGACATGTCATACGACGTCATCAGCGCACGCAAAGAAAAACAAGCTGTGTGTAAACATACCAAAGATTTACGGAGGAATGGGTGATTCAGAAGGAGTAATTAAGACATCCATACAGGCATACATATATATGTACGTACGTACGGGTAGTGTGGAATGCATGGTGGTTGACACTTTTATTGTTTCCAAGCAGCCAGACTGTCCCTGCACATAGGCACAACCCAGCCCGGCTTACTTACAATCGACTGCCTTAGTGACGCTTTCACCCAGACAGCCTTGTAGACGGTTTTAGAAAGGGGTGCTGCCGTTGCATTCGCCGGAGCCGGAGCCGGAGCCGGAGCCGGAGCCGGAGCCGGAGCCGCCGCCAACAGCACTTGAGGCAAAGCGAAAGATGTCTGCTCCACTTGCTGAAGTTGTTGAGCAATAGCAACAACAACAAGACAAAAGCAATAGCGACAACAACCGCAACCGGCGCGGCACATACAACGGCGGCAGCACTCCTTTTTAAATAAAACACTGTCTGACTTCTTTATCCATCAAGTCAAGCCAGCTGGTAAACGGAAAAATGCTGACAAACTGTCTGCTGAATGTTGAAAGAGGAAAAGGCAGGCGAGCAAAACAAAGTTCATTAGAACTTTAAAATGGCGAGAAATCAACAACAAACATCATCGCCAACATAAGTTCATAAATTGGAAAGGCGCCAGCGCACTATTTAAAGAATCAGCTAAGGCACTAACCACCAACAAGCCTCAGAAGAATGATGAACACGACGGTGCGATGGCGTGGGATGTTGTGAGCTGGCGTGCGATGTTGTGGGCTGGTGGCACAGTTGGCATGGTTTGAGTGATAGACGACCTGTGAATTATGTGAATGAAGCGTTGCCTGAATGAAGAACGGCAGCAAAGCGTTCGTCAAAGCCGCCATTAAATACGAGTATCGTAGCAAAAGAGGAGCGGAAGAAAGAAGCGCAAAATATTGGTGACGGAGTAAATGCACAGAAATGGAAATAAAGTTGCATGAAGGAAGCCTGACAAGTCCAGGTAGAATCAATTGGTGTGTAAGTGGATGCGATGTATGTGTTTCGATACCGTCGATGGCTTTTTCCTACTTTGTCTTTTCAGAAACAAAAATTCTAGCGCAAAATTAAAACAAAAAACTTGGGCAATGAAAAGTTCAGTAGTCAGTTGTCTCCAGGAACGTTGAACCGGATCAACCGTTTTTTCTACTAATTAACTGGACCAATAACCGAACCGAAATTATACACAAATGTTTGATCCGAACGGA